ATTAGATTTTTTACGTTCTTATTAAAGATAGTTTAATTATTCTGTAGAACTACAAAAATACCTTTTTACTCCAAAAGTTTTTTTTTACTACTTAATTTAAATAATACATAATTTTTGAGAACTCGGTAATATATGCTTGTGTTTAGGTACCATTTTTTTAAAAAAGTATCCCTTTTTTATGCAAAATATTTTTTACACATATATAAAACAATACATAAAATACAGTTAACCCATTTTTTTAGTAAAATGTTGGTACAGTTTCTTTAAAAAAATTATGAAGCTTTAAAATTTGAAATTTTTTTATTTTTCTGCTTTTTTTATGCATAAAACTATTTTTAAAAAATTAGGCACTATTTTAATAGAAAAAAAAATAGGTTCACTATATGCATAGGCATCTTGTATAGAAGTATAAAAAATCTAGAATCATATAGCGCAATAGTCCTTTTATTAAATGTACCTAAATGCAAAAAAATATGCTTTTGAGAAAAAGTGAAAAAAACTAAAAAAAAACAAACAATATTTTCAAGTATTATACACTTGATTAGTATTTGCTTGCCTATTTTTATATGAGTAATAATAATCCTTAATCATTTTCTGGAGTTACAAAAGTAATTTTAAATTCATATGTTTTTTCCCCTTTGTTTATGTTAACATGAACCTAATTTTCGAGATTTTGTAATACATATTTTCATGTATAGGTACCATTTCTTACAAAAATATTCTTTGAATATCCAAAAAAATTTACACATATATATGCAACAACATATCAAACATAATAAATCAGTTTTTTAACGAATTAATTGCATAATTTCTTTAAAATAATCATAAAACCTTAAAATTCTGAAAATCTTAATTTTCTTTTTGCACGTATAAATTTTTTTTTAAAAAAATTGACATTACATACTAAAAGATAATTTGTTCACTAAATAGAACGTGTATATAGATCAAACACAGGGGAAACTACATATTTAAAGTTCAGAGGGGTATATCAAAAAGGGCGTGGTCATTTGTTTACATTTTTATTTTTCATATTTTAGGGCTATTTTATCAACAACCATATAAATATTATACATTTTTAGATTCAGAAAAATAAGCACTATTTTTTAGAACTAAAATTGAAAAATCGATTTTTTTAAAGCATACTATGTCCCTGTTCCCTTTACATAATGCTTTATTCAAATATGGGGGTAAATTATGTTTAAAAAATTGACATACTGTCGTGTTGGTTAACATTATAAATAAATGAAAAAAATATTCTGAGAGTCACATAAGTATATACATGACTTACTAAACATTATTTCTGAGCAATTCGTCAGAGTTAATAAGGAAGAGAACATTTGAATAGAAGTAGGGGGTGAAATGAATGGGGATTGCTCTGTTGTTCGAAGACGATTGTTAAGAAAAAGAAAACGATTAAATTACTGAAACTTTAGTACATGGAGTTGTTTTGCGAAGAATTCAAGAATATTCTGAACCTGGAAAATTCCTGATTCTTAACTATTTTCAAAGGGATACCAGATCCTACGGGCTATATGAAATGTAATATTATGAGAGGAAACGTAAGGAGTGCACTGTTCATAAAATGTAAAAATTACGATTATGAATATAATTTAATTCGAATAACGATATCTATGTAAACTACTGAAGTAAAATGTAATTTCCCAAAGTATAATTTTTTTATTCTTTCTAAAAATAGATATTCATAAAATCCAAAAAAATTTTGTTTTCTAAGTATCACGTAACAATATTATTTTGCATTTCATTATCATTTATAAATTTTGTACTATTAATTGGAAAATAATACTACATTTATTTGAAAAGTGGTGTAACGTTTCCCGTCAAATAGCTGTAAATAGGCTTCTTTTTGTGGTTATGATCTCCACGTTCAATGAACACCTGCACTCTTAAAATATTGCACGGTCTTGTCTTGGGTATCGTCCAAGCAACCTTTGACACCACGAGGATCCCACCCATGAAACGGATGGAACTCGAGGATAAAGAGGCTGACCACTATCATCCCGAAGAACCCTAGACAGGAGAGATGGATGCAACCTCTTCCCTTACAAACAACAGACTTTAAACACTAATGATCAAAACAATATTTTTAATAATTTCAATGTAAATACTGTAATTCACAGCTGTGACGTAAAAAAACTAAATATTTAAATTAATAAATATCACGCTACCCTTATTCATTTCAAATGGCACAGTGGTCATTTGACTTTCATCGGTTGAAATAGGTAAATATAAAACACCAGTTCAGAGATAGTCAACCTGCGGCCCACTGAGCTTTTTCAAGTGGCCCGGCCATGGCCCATTGCTCAGAGAAATTTACTTATTTAAGAACATTTTTAAAAATTTGGTTAGAGATTTTTTGTCAAGATATCAAAATATATCAATTTTGCTTTTTGCTGTTGTTCTGGTGCGAATTTATATTCTTTTTCTATTTGGAAAGGTTACGGTTAGTGGTAAAAGACAACAGTGGAGTAGCAACAATTTTATTGGAACTACTTTTTAGCTATCTTTCAATATCTTGCAAGCGAAAAATATTCGAAGAAAATAAATAGTTTCAAGACAATTGGGAGGTAACCTATTTTGTATTGAAAAAAACAACAACATGAATCGGCAATCGTTTGATTTGTCTCACGAAAGTGTTATATTTAAAAAAATATCAATAAACACACACACAAGAATCATTCTCAATGCCACTTTTCCTTGAAGATCTCTTTCAAAAGGTGATAAATAGGCTTTTCTCTTGAATCTTTGCAACATCAACAAAGTGTTTTGTCAGTGGTAATATCCCAGCGGTAACAAATACATCCTACGAAGTTTGTTATATTATTGGTAATCATATGAGGCCGTTTACTGAGAGATGCAGAAATTGTGAAAGGAATGTTTCTTAAATGCATCTAGTTTAGTGTTAGTGACAAAAAAATGCAAAAAATAATAATTAAAAAAGGCAAAACAGGAATTATAATTTTTTGATCAATTTTCCACATTTTAAATTTCCAATGTTATCTTAGTCATAAAGCATTTCTCCCCCCGCATTGATCTTCATGTTGCGGCCCGCGTCCATTAACCAACATAGGTATGCGGCCCGTGTAAAATAACTGACACATGTATGTGGCCTAGCAGAAAAAAAGATTGAGTACCCCTGTACCAGTAGATTTAATTATAATATAGACAATGTTTTCCTAATTCGAGCTCAATTTTGAAGACTAATTGCACATACATAAAATTTATTTAATTCCATGCTAACAAAGAATGAATACACAAGTCCAATCTTGTAACCAGTGTTTTCTTCATCTGCGATTTAATCTCAAAATTGGGTACTACGCGTTACGCACAATTACAAAAGAAACAAGTATAATTTTCATTACTCTAATGTAAAACTTCATTTGTCTGTCCTTCAGTCACGTCCCATTCATAAGTCAAAATAAAAGATATCAAAAACAACCCTTCGGACATAAAACGAGATTTCTCATTACTCCGGGAAAAACAACAACAAAAGTTTATTCAACAACTATACCCACTGAAGTTTATCAAAACAGAAGACAAAAAAAATCATTCATTCATCAACAATAAACATAAGAATAAGCGAATCCCATCTTCATTACGAAGCTATAGCATTCCCCCTCCATAAAAAGAGGAGAGAGAGATAGAGGGAGAAAAAAACATTTTCCATCAAAGATAATAATAAAAAGGGAAAAAAAACTGCTACACCGCAAAGCTGATAGCAAGAGGACGCGAACTCACCGTACACACACTCCTCCAATTGCCAGTACATGTTGAAAGCTTTCTCCTTCAGCTAAATATTAGTCATTAAGCAAACGTCCTATTAAACGTCTTTTTTAGCATCATCACTTATTCTTCTGTAGAGATAAAAGAAAAGCCCATTACACCACAATTGCGCATGCACATTTTTCCAGGAGGAGGGGGGAAAGAAACTACTAGTGCTGTCACCACACCCCTGGCAATCCCTTCCTCACCCTACAGCCTAGTGTTTTCCGTAGTTGATGATGCAAGACCAATGTGTACGACTAGATTACGATGACCATTCTCTGATGGCCCGTGACAGTCAGCGTCTAACGCGAAACTGCTAGGGAGTGAGTGGTACAAGTCATATTCATTAGTTGTTTTATGTACAGAGGTTTAATGGTATATTTATTTCTTAATTATCTGAAAATTTCAACTTAAATATCAGTGGCACCCACAAAAAACGATTTATTATTCGATTCCTACAATTTTATGATAAAAGAGACGGATTTAATTTCAATATTATAAAAGTTCCTCAATGGGAGAGTAATGTACATGTTTCTATATTCAGAAATATTGTTATTAATTATATACAATGCAATCAATTTCTAGTTTCAAAAAAAAATCAGAAATAATAAATAACTATAAACATTTTACTAAATATTGCTTAAATCAAAAATACTCAATTAATTTTATTAATAGTTATATGAATAAAGCTATTCGAAATATTGAGGTTTTAAACTTCTCTTAGATTAATAATAGTTAATTACTATACATTTATCATATTTCCTAGTTATAGTTACCTCCATATTCAAATATTAGATAAAATTACTTATTATTATTTAATTCATATATACTCTAGTGTCACTAAAGTTATGGTATAATTTGTAACTCTATTTTTAATTTTTATTTCTATTCTTTTTATACTTTTGTTAAGTGCTACATTTCAGCCAATCACATGCTTTGAATCTGCATTAGGGTCCAGAATCTGTCAATAACTTACTTATTGCACTCAGATTTAGCACGGGCTCTGCATTTTTAAGTGCAATTTTTAGGTAAGTTACCTCTATCTTGTAATGGACTTAGATATTCCTATCCATTACTTTCAATTGGTTTTTTCTCAGTATTATTTACATAAAATAATTCAAATATTAATTCATTAGTTAAACTTAATTAATGAATAAATAGTAACAAATAAAAATAATAGTCCGAGTCTATACATAAAAAGGAAATTAGATTGATGTGTTCCTGTAGCACAATGGATAGCGCGTTGGACTTCTAATCCAAAGGTCGTGGGTTCGAATCCTACCTGGGATCGCCTAATTTCTAAGAATGTGATTTATGAATAACTAAATAGTAACAAACAAACAAGATAATCTAACACTCTATATAGAAAGGAAAATCGCTTTATGTTTTACCACTTGTCAATGTGATTCTGTCATATATATATATATATATTCATATTTATATTACTTGTAACTTTTTAAAAAAGGTGTAACTAAAATAAAAAAATTTCTTTGTTGATCTAAGTAGGAATTGACTTAATTTATTTTATATATTACTTGTGTGTGTGTGTGTTTTATGTGCAGAGATTTAGTGGAATATTTATTTCTTAATTATATATCTGAAAATTTCAACTTAAGCATCATTTACGAAAGGATTTATTATTTATTATTTTATACTTATTTAAGGCGGTCGACTAGGCTCGGAGACCAGTTTTTGAAAAATTGATTTTTATAAGACTTTTGTTGATTTAAAGAACATAAATAGGCTTAAAGTGTCATAATTATTTTTAAAAAAATAGAATGTTTCACGCTTTTTGAAAAAAAATATGATTTGTTATGAAATTTTAGCAAAATTTCAAAAAAAGGCCATAAACAAAAATACGCTGGACATAATGCAATTTTAATTTCATTAATATGCTTTTTAATCTATTTGAAGAGTCATACACCACAGAGTAAAAAACTATTCTAAGAAAATAAATATTTTATAAGCATTTAAATTTTTGTCAAAATTACTCTATGTTTTAAGCTAAAAAGGGCTTTAAAAGGTGATTAAATGTAATTATCTTAAAATGTGTAGTTTATTACACTCTAAAGGGCTCAAAGCATATAAATTTCATTGAATTTGATTGGATTGTTTTTTGGAGGTTTCATGCACAAATTATCGCGGAAATTTCATTCTTCAAAAAACACATTAAAAACCTTTTTTCTAAAAGTTAGATAAATTATATAAATGCTACAAAAACAACTTAAAAACTCTCTAGTCTTATATATTATTTCTTCTTCCGCAATATTTATACTTCTTTTCATCTAATTCCCCAACATCAAACACCTAAAAACCCTTTTTAGACCTAGTCAGATAATAACTTATGAATGGAATACATTTTAGCAATAATGTATAAGACAGGGATGACGACCCATTGGCACGCGTGCTTTTGATGGCACTCGACGCAATGTTTTTGGCACGCCAGTGATCAAAATGGTTTGCATTAGAACTCGTTTGTTATTCCCTTGCCTTAGTTACGTCGTAGACTACAATTGCTTAGGATGTAAAGTTCGTCTTCACATAGCACGGTCTATTTCATTGACACAAATGTATTTTAAAGTTTACCTTGTTATGTTTTCAATTTTTAACTCACATGGATAGTTAAGCAAAAGAACAAAAAGTACAAGATAGTAAGTGTAACGGGGAATTTTAAATTTGGTAGACCGAGAAACATGGCATTATTAGTAAAGGCAACAAAGCTTTGTGTGTTTTATGTTCAGGAGTGGCATGCAGAACATCGTCTATCAAACGGTATTTGAAACAAATCACAAACCCTTTTGTAAAAAAAAAGTGAACCACAGCAAAAATAATTAATTGCTTAGAAACCATTTGGAAGACGACTCCAATTCAGCGAATGTTCTACAAAAAGTAACATCTTACAATCCTAGTATAAGTTATTTGTCATCCACACAATCTGCAACAACAGAAGTCACACTAATGTTACTTTAGTTAATTTAGAAGTTAATTCAATGTAAATTTGATTTATACGTATAACTAAAACATTTATAACTATGCAGCGCAAAAGGTACCTTTTCGTAGTAGATAGAGTTTTGTTGTTTGTATTATTATTTTCCCAAAATCACAAGTCAAAATTATTTGACGGCACGTCTATACCTCATTAAACACTTCTTTAGTTGATTCAAATGAAAATGGCACGTTAATCCATGAAGGTTCGTCACCCTGGTATAGGAGTTTAAGTTGGGATTAGATGTGGAAAATTTAATAGATTTCGAGTATCCAGGTCAGTTTGGCAGTGTGATTTTGATAAATGCCTTTAATAAAAGCGTACAAATGAATGATTTTTTTTATATTTACTGCCAGCTGAATTAAAATAAGCTTATTAAATTGCTTTAAGATTTGTTGTTTGTACACAGGATAAAAAACTCTTAATTTTAAAACTCAGCGATTTTAATTTTGCGATGAAAGATTATAACAAGTGTCAGCAATTTGTTGTGGGTAACCTCTCCTGAAAATACAGCAGTTGAACATTCCACAGATATTGTATTTCGCAAACTTTCAAAACAAGCAACATGTTGCCATCGCGCAAGGGATCAAAACAATACAGTCGATATGGCTTTGGTTATTTACTATTTTACAAAAATACCTATTAAACAAACATTGTAAATAATAAGAATTGATTGTTTATTTGTATAAATGAACATATAAATAAACAAATAGTAATAAAAGTACAATTCCATACAAACATTAAAAAATTATTTAAATGTAATTTTTTTTTTACAGAAGATGAAGATAGAATTACACATTTTCAAAACAATCTTCTTTACAAAATATACATCCATAATACTAATTTTTTGGTTATATGTAGCGAAGACTATGGTACAGAGTACGAACTAGGATTTTTGAAATTTTCATGTTATTTTCATAGCTACTATCAATTGCATTGATAATCAATAATTTTGTCAACACATTTATATTCAGGTGTGTTAAAATGTGAGAATAAGTTCACTTCTATAAATTATGCATTTTAAAAAATCATTATTAAGGCTCTTAGCTATATATAAGGGCAAAATATTAATATCACAGAAATATTTTTCTGAAAAAGAGAATGTTTCGAAAATATGTATATAATTAGCTTTATTTCCTTCCAAAAAATTACTTTTAAATATTTTTTATTGTAAAACTATACTTAAAACTGTTGTATATGCATATTCTAATTCAGGTGGCAATGAATATAAATAAATCATTAATAGGCTTTTTTCAAAATCACAGTTCCGAACCCAGTTGATACCTTAAGCATTACTTTAAAACATGCTCATAAAATGTGTTAAAACATTTTATACAGATTTTTATTTGACCATCACATGATAGAAAGAAATTTGTATGATTAAAATTATTGAATTAATTTCACAGATATTGAATTAATAATTACAAGCAAAAACAAACTTAAAATACGGTTCACCGAATTTAACGCTAAATAAGCATTAAACAGATTGCTAAATAATTATAGATATTAAAAAATATTTAACAATACATATTTTAAGCAATTGTTAATGCTCTAACTAGGTTTAATCTCTTGGAATTTTACATTGCTCGTCGTTAAATATTACAGATTACAATGAGTTTGTCTGTAAAAATTTATAAATACAAAAATTCCTTCCCGATATCTTTTTGTTAAATCTGGTTTTGGCATTTTGATGAAGCACCTCAAACAACAAACACATGACCCGAAATTCAAAGAATTGTTTGAACGTAATCATTATGCAATTTAAAAGCAATCCATCAATTCCTTCTCAGTCATACGTAGGAACGTGAAGCACAGGGAGTGCATTTAGATCAGCAAAGAGCACACTTTCCTTGATTGGTTTCAAAAATAAAACCGACCATTTAGAAGGGTATCACCTACCGTAGTGAACATAAAGTGTGTTCAGATTGAATAAGAATATTAATTACAAAATATTATATTAAAAATAATGCAAAAAGCCACAGAGATCTAGAAAACTTATTTTTACCATTAAATGGACCTTATTTATAAATTATGACCTAATTGTTAAAATGTTCGTGGATTTTAAATGAGTAATTTAAAATTATATATATATATATAAAGACGTAAAGATAAGTTTAGTACTTATTAGATTAATTATAAGAGCAAATTTTGAATAAAGTTATATCATAGTTTAGTTTTAACAGATATATTTACATCCTTCTTAATATTTATTAAACGAAACGATTTACAATTAAACTCTAGCATTCAATATATATATATATATATATATATATATATATATATATATATATATATATATATATATATATATATTGAATGCTAGAGTTTAATTGTAAATCGTTTCGTTTAATAAATA